CTTTATACATACTATCAAATTCTGTATTGCAGAATTCTAGGTCATTATCTGTCCTTAAAATTTTGATTTTCTTGCCAGTTTGGTTTTCCACTTGTCTCTTCCAATTATTAAAATTATGAAAAGTCTCAGATTTATCTTTCAATAGATAGACCCACACTTTCCTAGTATAGTTATCGATAATAAACAAGAAATACCTATTCCCACCCGATGTGAGATTACTAGCAGGACCCCACAGATCAGAATATACATATTCAAGCATACCTTTAGCTCTATTAACACTCGTGGAGAACGAAGTTTTATAATGCTTACCAAACACACAATGATCACAAAATGACAAATCTGACACATAGTCATTACCAAACGCATCTTTTTCTTTAAGTAGCTTAAGTCCCTTGATGCCTACGTGAGCAAGTCTATTATACAGTATGTGTGTGTGTGTGTGTGATCAATATTGACAGAAGAGATAGAAGAGTTCAAACCTCTAATCACTTCCCAAGTAGTGATATAGATATCGTTTTTCTTAGTTCCCTTAATTGAAACTAAAGCACCATTGATCATTTTTAGCATACCATTTTCAATTTTACCAGTGAAGTCATCATTTTCAAGTATTCCTACTGAAATTAGATTCATAGACAATTCAGGAATATATATATAACATCTTTTAACGTGTACATAAAATCTGTGTCAAATTTTACGTTTATGTCACCAATTCCAGCAATAGTATAGGCAAAGTTATCACACAACACAACACAACATACCCAACATTATATCCATGCAATTTATAAAACCAATTCTTTTCAGACGTCACATGAAAAGATGCACCAGAGTCAAGTATCCACTCATGCATGCAGGAATTAACAGCTAGATTTAATTCAGCAGTGTATGCAACGGGACTGTAATAATATAGACCTCACCACCATCTATATCGGAAGTAGATGATAATACATTGACCTCATCTCTCTCCTTAACCTTTAGTTTACCCTTCTCCTTATGGCAATCCCTTATAAAATGCCCTGTGTTTTCACAACCATAACATTTTCTTGCCTTAGTCCTAGATTTTGATCTAGACCTACCTTTGCTCTTCTTTTTCCATCCATTGCCACTTAGCTCGTCACCAATTTGATATTCATCATGACTATTTTGTCTAAATTGAGTTCTACCCCGCATCATATGTAACTCACTGCTCCTCTTATCGTGTTTTTCAGCCCTAATTTTTATTTCTTTACTTCTAAGGGAGTCTATGACAATTTCAGGTGTCAACATATCTCTGCCATACTTAATGACGTTCTTAACTTCCTTATAGGAGGAATCAGGAATAGCATTGAGCAAAATTATAGCCTTATAAGTTTCGGACATAGCCTCATCACAATTAACTATATCTTGCACCAATTTGTTAAACACGTCTAAATTGTCATCGAGATCCTTTGGATCTATTTTAAAATTGAAAAAATGTTCGAGCAAGTAAAGTTTATTCGGTGTAGACTTAAGCAAGTATAAGTCTTCTAATTTTTTCCAAAGTTCTTTGGTGGTTTTCAGTTTACCCAACTTTCTAAAAACGGCGTCAGACAAGTGTAAAATGATTGAGGTATAAGCAAGCTCATCGGCTTCTTCTCTTTGTTCTTGTGAAAAATCAATTGAAAAATTGCCTTTAATGGCCTTTGAAACTTTTTGTTGGACTAAAATGCCTTTCATTTTTTGTTGCCAAATAGTAAAATCACCCTTTCTGTTAAACATCCTCAAATCAAAGTTGTGAGTTGTCATCTTTACACAATAGCCAAAAAGTGCACAAAACACAATCAAACCACACAAAGTAATCCTAGAGTTTCAGACAATATATGCCGTTCTAGATTCCCAGGATTTCGTAAGACTCGGGATCTTAGATCAAGGGAATGTTTGTAACGGGTAAGGTCACGATAATTCTAACGGAATGGATAAGCAGCGAAAATAACAATGCAACAGAAAACTACGTCTAACAGATAATTAGTTTCACAGCAGTTATATCACTAAGAATCAAATACTGATTTAACTAAAAGACAAATACTCAATCAAATAATCAAGAGCACGTAACTCTAATTTCTAGCACAAGCAATGGTTGCCAAGCAATGGCAACCCCCAAACCTAATGATCACCCCACACGATGATCTGTTAGTGTAAAAATATAAAGGTTTCAGCCAATTTACCAGAGCGGACCTATCTGAGTTTGTAACGTAGAGAGATGCGAATTTGCTATTTTAGGGCCACTACTATTCGCCCTAAAGATTTAGCAAATATAACAGTTCGTTCAGCAACAAATGTATATTGTAATCAAGGGCAAAATCGTCCAAAATTTTTTGCACAACCTGGAACATTAAACAAAACACATTAGTACGTTCAGGGAATCAAAATAAGTGAAATGGCACAAAAAAACCACGCAGGAGCTCCTCCACGCGCCGCCTCACAGAGGGCGCCTCGACCTGCTAAGTTTGAATCTGGCCTCAGTTTCTTTTGCAGGTCAGCCGTTTGTCCGAAAAAGGCAGTTGCAGGTTCAGTCCCTTTTGCAAAATCGTAAACCCGTCGCCTTCTATGGCCGATTTCTTGCTGGAGAAGATGACCCAAGCTCTGATACTAGTTGTGGGGCCAAAATCCAGCAATACCCAAGGTGATACCGAGCTCAGTTTCCACCAAAGTTGACACCACCACTAATTGAGACACACCCAACTTTCACTTTTCTTCTTCCCACCTACGGTTGCTATTCATTCCCATAAAGAGTCGGCCAATATGAGAACAATATAACCCAAGAGAAAACCACACAGGTTGCTTGAGAGAAAAGAGGCCGAGAATCAGCAGAGAAGAGGTCACAGAGAAAGATGGAGAAGACGGCATGTTGGAGGCGTAGGAGAGCCGAGAGTTATAGCCTAATGGAGTGACCAAAAAAGGCAAGTTAGGGTAGGTTAACTTAGTGGTCCAAAAAAAGGCTCAGCACAAAGAAAATGGGCTCCAAATGGATATCGTAGCTATCCAAGCAAATGGGACGGACCACGAGCAACATTATTAAAATAGGTTGCTTCTAACGATCCGTAGCAAATTGGGTTGGGTTGTCTTGATGATAGTGTCGACATATAGTTCAATCATATGGCCAAGGCCGACTGATAATAAATAAAATCGAGGTTATATCATTGTCCAGAAGGTCGTTGGACAATAAATTGCCTAACAATCTCATTTAAGCAAAAACGATATGTACGGTGTGGTATAAGTAGACAATCATTTAACATATTAATTACACACGCTAATACAAAATTGACATATGGACTAGCTAGCCTAACAACTAACTAACTTTCAGCTTCAATTGCAACGTGACTATTTCTTCCAATTGCTTCCATATTTTCTGTTAAATATTGTGGTTTTTGTTAATAAACGGCTCAACCAAACTATAGATCCTCGTGTTTTGAGGGAATGTGGAAGGAATGAGCAAAACTGGCAATACAAGTCTTTCCGGGATCTTGCCTCGTGTTCTTAAAACATGAGAAGGATGATAGGCCAGAAATGATTGAAGTTGTGAAAGAACTCAAACAGATATCAAGGTGCATTCGTACAAAGGAAGTGTTTCAGGGCATGAATCGTATACTGAATTCATCGAATTCCTATGCTTATTATGCATTTTTCATTGGCATACTGTTGATAGGACTTGTGAATATCTGTGCTTCAAGAGTTTCTAGAGTCGAGTTGTCAGTTAAACAGCTACTTCAATTGGTTGGAGGATTTTCTACTTGACCAGTGTTGCCTAACTGGGCTTATAGTGAACGAAATCGCATTGAGTGAATTAAAAAATCATATGGATTGTAAGTTGTAGAGAAAATGGCAAAATCTTATAGAATCTTATGGATGTTTTAACCACATTCTCCTAAAAAATCACTATTCCAAAATACATTTTCTCCCAAAAGAAAAAACATTAAGATGGAGCCCAGATGATGGAATTGGTTTTAGTTCTAGGTGATGAAGTTAAGAGCCTGTTGGGAAGTGATTTAAAGAATTGATTTTTTGATCGAAAAGTGGGGTCCACCTATGAGAGAAGAAGTCAAATATAACGACTGAAATAGTAAAATAACGGTCAAAAAATCAATTTTTTGGACAAAAAAATCACTCCCAAACAAGCTGTAAAATTGTTTTAAAACATTTTCACGTGATGAAGACATTAACGGTAAAGAATCTTAAAATTGGATAATAGTAAGATTGAAGAAATGCAATCCTTGAATAAAAATGGAACATGGAAACTGATACACAAGTCTAAAAATCAGAACTTAGTCCAATGTAAGTGAGCCATGTTTGGTGTTTGGTATGTATTGAAATCTAGATTAAAATTCGTCCAATATAAATTGACAAAACGGCTAACAACCCCTTTTTATTAACTTAAAGAGAATGACAAATCCGTCATTCAAAGGCCAAAATGGAGGGAATGGCAAGTTATATTACTTAATTGAATGAATTTTATGTTAAAAAATGTTCGTTTGTCCAATGTTTATTAAAGCAATAATGTTATAATCAGCAGTAGTCATTTAACATCTTATGTGGTAAAACCAAATAATTTTAATAATGCTAATTATAGACTCATAGTTAGTAACTGTAGTCATCATCCTATATGGTATTTTACGTGAAATAATTTTAATAATTTAAAAAGAAAAACTTTTCGTAATACTATGCCACATAAGTGCCACATGTGATGATTAATATGATCGCCGACTGTGAATAATATAAATCTTGTTAAATAATAGACTGCAGTCTAATCTGGTGATACATCTTATTATTTTGGGCCTTCAGAAGCCCATTATAGCCCAAGTACGGCGTGACTCACCAGTGTCAAAACGTAGCCCATTGGCCCAAACCCTCTGCCGACGGGCCTTCTCCATCATTTAAGCCACTAATAACTAATCCAACAATCAATTAATGCCAAAATCGATATTATCTCGTAATCTGAGTGACTGATTACAAATTAAATTAATTATACACCGATTAGTCCTAATTAATTCATAAAAAGTGACAGCGACAAAAACGGATAAACAAATGGAAAAAATCTAATAGCTTTTTTATGTCCATTGAACTCACAGGCGTAAACAAATTCCAGCAGATCCAGATCCGACACCCAGTTATCTCCTTATACTCTCGTTAATTGTACATTTCAGGTGATTATTTTGGTTTGGTTTTTGTTCTTAATTCGTTATTTTTTCCACATTTGTGGGGTTTTCTTTAATTAGTAAATACTGCGTGGATCTGTAGATGGATATATTTCAGATGATTTAGTGAAGTCCCAGCTGTTATACAGTGAAGTTGTTTACGGAAAATGGTTGGAATATGTTTAGTTTTTCTGCTTCCGTACAGATTAATTCAATTTAAAACTTTTGAGATGTGGGGTTAGTTCAATTCCTAGATTTAGGTTGTTTCATATTGAGAAAGAAACTCATATAAAGATCGTTATGCATTGACGAAATGATATGAGCATGTTTAGCCCCGATTTCAAGTTGATGCTTCTTAGTTTACTGCTGAAATGGGACGGAGAAAAGCAGCTTAATATCATGGCCAAATAAGCTCATGCCTGCACTCCCATTGCTTGTTGATCTCCTCAATCGAGGCAATGAATGTTAGCCTAGTGATATTTCAAATCGTGAAATTAACGTGTGCCCACAGCAATCAACTCATGGCAGCTTTCTAGCTTGCATGTTAGGATGATGTAATTCACATCACTAAATGATCAGGAATGTCTTTTATCTAAATTGGTAAAGTCGGTGTAATATAGTGCTAATAATTCATTAGAGAGCTAAGGTCCTCTTGGTATGAGGATTTCCAACTTGACCCATGTTGCGTGTCTTGGCTTATGATAAACTAATTACTCTATTTTTTGGAATGTTTAACGGCATGATGACGCTATGTGTCTACATGAGTGACCTTTGTTTGCAAGTGGTGAATGAGATGTGATTTTTCTTTGAATGGTGTCTTGTATGTGTATAAATGGAACAATTTTTATTTTTATTTGTTTTTGTTTTGGAAAGGTTTCTTATTTTCTATTGCATCAATCCCATATCTAGCAGGCTCATCATAATAGCAAAACAATGTCTAGAAGGCCCACTTCTACTCGTCGCCTTGCAGACAGTGGGAGCATTCCACTTGTGGGTTCATTGCACCCCAAATCACGCCCATCTCCTCTATTGTCTGTAGGGCTTCTTGCTGTGGTAAGTCTGATATCCTTCTCTTCAAATTCGTTTCCACACATGAGGGCATAGATAATCACAAAAACATGTAATGCACAAACTATTATCTTGAAGTCGTTATCTTGACTGGTAGGATGTGGTGTCATTGGCAGGGTTGCCAATCACAAGCTTCATGTTGGACACATTATCAATGCTGGAAAATAATGATCTAGGATTCCTTTTGCATCTGATGTCTACGTTAGTTATCCCTATTGAAATCATCTTTTCAAATATGTAGCTCATGCACTAGAAATTCATATGCATACATGCATTCCCTCATTGGCATATAGATTGTGAATTCGTTAAGGTATATTGCACTTTTTAACTGAAGTATGGTAAAATATGACCAACAGATACTGCTATTCTTTCCCTTCTTAATTTATGTTTCTGATGTTGGGCCTACTTACAGATAATTATGATATTTGGATTTGAATTTAAAGTGACAAAAAATGAGATATTGTATATTTGTGAATTTTCAGGGAGCATTACTTATTGTTGGTTACATGTATCATGGTTCAGGTACGTAGTTTACACGTTAATTTGTTTAGTTATGTCCTAATCAGCAAAGTTTATGCTTTATGTGCCTTTGCATCATCTTTTGCTGGATATTTTTGTGGTCTTGTCTTAAATTTTGATGTGGTAGTACTTAATCAGTTAACTTAATTGCATCCATTTGTTTTGGAAGGCCATTTAGATATGGTAGTACTTAATCAGTTAACTTAATTGTATCCATTTGTTTTGGAAAGCCATTTAGATTACTATGTATTTCATGTGCTTTACCTGTAGAACTCACATTAGTTGATGTAATTCTAATTTTGAATTATTTTCATGACAGGATCGAGGAATGGTGACATAATGGCTTTAAGTAGATTGGATGGTAAATTTTCAAGCTATAAAAGAATAACTTTACATTATCTGGTTACCATCTCAAGCCCTTCATATCTTGATTTTGATGCTTATTGTACTTGGAATACAGCAATTATGTCATGATATCTTCAATATATACTTATTTTAAAATGAACATGGCTTTACTAGATGGAGTTTCTTCGAATTGCTTTAATTTTATATAGATAGTTATATCAGTGCTTATAAAATTTATCCTTGTTCCAATTTATATAATATTAAAAATGTTATTTTCAGTAAATCAAGACTAAGCAGCACAAGCATGTAAAATGTGCCGTTTCTTTTACTAGCAACCATTCTAACTGCAACATATTTTCTTCATTTTTTCCTTGCTTTGTAGAGTTGTCAGTTGTCCCATTCTTACTAGAATGTTGAATAGTCTTCCACTGCAAATTGGCAATTTTAATGAAGTGCTTGATTTTTAGCGGTCTATCCGTCTATGTAATCTTATATGGTTTGAAAAGTAATCTTATTGAAGTGTCCTTGCTTAATTCTACTGTATTAGGTTCTATTCTAATTATGATCTTCCGTTGATTACTAAAATACTGAAGAAGATGATTGGTCTGATATTTACAAAATAGGTGCTTGTAGTTCTTCTATCTGACTTCTTTTCGGTTTTCATTGTTTCAAAAATAAATAAATGTTACTAATAGGATGGAACATCATTGTTTGAGAAATTTAACCATGTATCTGCAGGTGGTGTTTCATGTACTCTAGAACTTCAGAAATTAACCCCTATTCTTAAGAAAGCATATGGTGACAGCATGAGGAAAGTGTTGCACGTAGGCCCTGATACTTGCTCAATAGTCTCTCAACTATTAAAAGAAGAAGATACTGAAGCTTGGGGTGTAGAGCCTTATGAGTTAGATGATGCTGATGCTACCTGCAAAAATCTTGTAAAAAAGGGCATTGTGCGTGTGGCTGATATCAAGTTTCCTCTTCCCTACAGGGCAAAGTCATTTTCTCTTGTCATAGTGTCAGATGCATTGGATTACTTGTCGCCGAAGTACCTGAACCGAACCGTTCCTGAGCTAGCGAGGGTATCAGCTGATGGTTTAGTTATATTATCTGGTAATTCTCTAGAAACCAAGTCATATTATATTTATTAACTGTTCCGCAAATGTTTCTTGTAGCACATGGAAACTTACCACGTTTCTTTGTTCCTTTAAAGCTTGGAATTAGGATGGGCTTTTCATTATGTTTTCATGTTTACTTTTGGAAAGTCTCACTTAGACATCCTATGCAATGGTAGTTAGGTGGGACTCATATGAATGGCTCATAAGGACTTAGATATCTGCCTTTTTACAACGTGGGTTTAAACATTTTTGGCTAGTGTCTAATTATGATTTCAAGGCTAGTAATCTGACTCGAGTTCATTTACTGGTGTTAGAGTAGTCTTCATGGAGATGTCCACTTGGGTGAACCTGGAATTGTGGAGTTGGCAATTGTCTGACTCTACAAGCACTTCTTGTATCCAGTGAGGGATTTTTAACATCCTGTCCCACGTTGTTTATGACGAAGTTATGTGAATAGTTTCTAAAGAGTTGACTCAATACCCCTTGAAAACATGTGCTTAAAAACATTTTGTGATGGTTTATGTCCAATTATGTTAGCATAGGCAGTGTAAATGACTGTAGTCCTTGTGATGTGAATTTGGTTATGTTTAACTGGTAAAGGAAAATGCCTAGCCTGAAATTAAAAAGGTTTGGGTTTCAACTTTTAACCAAATATTTAAATGCTTAGAAACCCTTATTTTAAAAGTAGACAGTGTTTGTAAACAAGATTAAAAAGCGCTCTTAGCCTATGTTTGGTTCATATTTATAAACTATTTATAAACACTAGAGTCACTTTTTATCCGTACATTTCGAGGGACCCAATAATACTACATACTTATCCACTACTCGTTTTTGTCTATATTAAAATTTAAACCGTTTATAAACACTTCCCATGCATTCTCTTGACCATGTATTTGGTTTGTTAAATACAGTTTTATTCTCAAGAACCCATACCATCTTTGAATTCTTCACCACTTATTTGCCAACCCACATATTTGGCATACTTACATGGGGGACCATCCCATACATATGTGTGTGGCAAATAAGTATGCCAACCTATACATATTTCTGACAAGGAAGCAAATAAGCTGGTCTAACATGCTCATCTTGGTTCCAAGTGATCATGGTTGCATAGATTATTAAGGCGGACGCATATCAGCAGTAAGTAAACCAATCCCAATTGATATAGAGTTTTGAATCTGAGTGTGCTTGGGCGAGAGGAATCTTGGGGAAGGTGACACCTATAAAATTTTCTTTCACACTCCATTTTTACCTTGTAAGGAACTAGTTTACGCCAGTGGTGTAGGCAAAATGTTGGAGTTTGACTTGCCCTCATATTTTAACTGCATAAATATTAACATACCTGATTGTATCATTCATGGAATGCTCTACAAATTGACACTCTTTCAAGTAAATAGTACTGTGAGGGTGGCTCTTATGCCATCCGTAATGATCTAGGACAAGAGTACTAAGATAGTGACTTCCAGGAGTTCTATTGTTTTTCATTATATTTCCATTTATAAGTACAGTCGGACAATGGTCTTGGCAGCATGTTATTTTGACTTGAGCACTTATTTCAAGGTAGTGACTGTTCAAGTACTTATATTTTCTAAACCACTCATAAAAATTTCAACGCTTGCAATACTGAATATCCTTTGTTCCGAATTATAACCTATTCTACAAAGTAGGCTTTAGAGTTGTAAGGTGATTTTCCTGCTGGTGCTACGATCTATATTTTGGTGGACTTTGTCGCATGACCTAACATCTTGTGTTGTGTGCCTGACCAAGCTAGACATGATGGAAATTTTCATGGTTTGACACGGCCCACCAGCTTAATGTGCTGACCTGGCCCACTTGGGCCAATGATTTTTATAATGAAATTGGAAAAAAGAACTCAAATCCCCACTCTCTTGACGGCCAAAAAATTGGAAACCAATCACCGTATTGTTGAAAAACAGTTGATATAGGTTGTGGGCCTAGGATGTCTGACCTGCTTCCTCAATCTGGCTGTGGTAGGTTCCAATATGAAATTTGTGTCTAGTTCTACTAGCCCAACCAATTTTACACCTCTATTATCAATAGAGGTGTAAAGTGGGTTGGGTTGGCACAGCTTGCAGATGTTTCATATAGGTTGGTTTTCTGCCAAACATCTACATTCTGCAATCAACATGGACCAAACTTTTTTGGCAGAATGGTGAATCTCCAGTTGGCACCTTGGGAGGGGATTCGTTTTCTTTAACCTTTATTAGATAAATTATTGACCCACAAGAATGAACTCGACATAGGCTATGCCAAGCCATGGAAATTTTCGTCATGCTGGGCTTGGCTAGACACAAAAATTCTAAATCATGCGAAGCCTAACACAAACCCTATTACAAACCTCCAAAATGTGGGTCATGCTGCTGTTCTGACACACGTTACACCCTTAGCTTAGACTTATCCTAGTGGACCACATCAGGAGCATCACTTCGGACACCGCTTATATATAATTAAGCTAAATGAGAGTATTTTTTTGTTTTATGTGTCTTTAGTTTAGCTTTCTCTCCCTTCTCAGAATAAGGCGAAGGCTATAAAGCCCTTTGTTCAGCTTGGATGGTGTAAAAGCCCGTGTCTTTTTGCCCCCAATAACTTGTTATCAGCCAATTTAGGCAATTGACATTGGCAACGTGTTAGAAACCTAATTTAAGTGCATATTGCTAAATAGTGAATATTTTGAGTTATATAAACTATGTATATGCTTCCCAAATTTTGGACTTACCTCGTGTAAATTCATGGCATACATTACAAACTAAATCTCTCCCATATGGATTTCCCTTGAGGGTGGTTCTGGCCTTTTGTGTATGGGGGAGCCTGAAACGTATAGAAAAATCTTAAGCCTATGTAGCAATGAGAAGTCGCTATTCTAATTTCTTGGTGAATTATACTCATAATTGTCAACCGACCTATATGGGATGAAGTGTTACCGTCATTCTCTCCTCTGGCTATTTAATTTATAATGAATCTATATCTTCTAATTTCACTTTTTTTTATATAGGTTTCCCAGGTCATCAAAGAGCTAAAGTGGCAGAGCTATCAAAGTTTGGTCGCCCAGTAAGTGTCAGTTTACATTTTCTAATTTAATGCATTTGAAGTAAGTCTGGAGCAGATTTTATAAATGAGAGAAATGTTCAACTCTTTTGTTGCACCATCTACTTTCCGCATAAAATAATTGGATATAAATATAACAAAATATTGGGAATTGCAAAAAACTTTATACTTGGTTGAATATTTGCTGATAATGCAATGCTTCAAGGTTAAACTCTCGATAGAAATTCCACAACTGGTTAATGTTAGATTTCTCGTAATCTTCTTATACCACAACTTTCTAAGGTTAAACTCTGGAACATTGAACACTGATCTCTCCCTTTCGTAGGCTAAACTGCGAAGCTCATCTTGGTGGATAAGATTTTTCATACAAACCAGCTTAGAAGAGAACGAAGCGGCTACTAAGAAGTTCGAGCAAGCAGCAGCCAAGAAGTCATACAAGTCGACATGCCAAGTTTTCCACCTCAACCCGTTGCATTAATTATCCTTTCAACATATGCCCTCTTTATGAAAATGATGCAAAAGAGCATCTTTAGTTCTTACAAGCTTTAAATTATAAATGTGGAATTTTGTGTTTCCTTGATTTATATTATCACGAGACAGAAATATTGTTTGATTAAATTTTTTGTTTGTACAAGTTAGCATCCGCCACCATGTATTTTTCAAAGTTAGAAACTTGAAGTGGGATTAATGTGTAAATTGAAACACGTGATTTCTATCCAAGAGTCACTTGGAAATTGGTCCGTAGCTGGATGGCGACATCGGTTCGCATCATCACATGCCTTTGCTGTTATTTATATTGATAATAGTAGAGATAATGTACGGTTTCATTGATGTAAATAATCCTAATGGGAATTAAACTTTAATTAATTAATTTATTATTATTTTATTTATTTATTTATTTTTTTAATCAAGATAGTATTTTCAATCGGACGCGAGATTATTTGTACAATATTAATATTATTCATTCATAGTAGAGAAAATGGACGGTTCGATCGGTGATGTGTTTTTTGATTTAGTTTCTATTAGGTAGGGAGTAAAATTAAGTACTTAATTTAAGTTAAAGTTAACAACTAATTTTAATTATAAATTGTATAGAATTCACAACTTTTTAATAATATATTTTATCAAGTTTTATCAAAATTTGATTTTAATCTTCGTCAAGTGGAAGCTTATTATCCAATGGATAGTCAGGATGACATATGTTCTACTCTCTTTTAAGGTGGGTCAAGTCATGTAACAAATTTCATGACTTCATTTCAAGATGTAATAGTAGTCGCAACCCCTTTAGGAGGTGGTTTGACAAAAAATTTATAAAATTATTGCAGATTTTGATTTTTTTTTAAAAATGATGAAATATATGATTCAAAAGTAGATAAATTTTGTGTAGCAGGAAAAGTGGAGTTAAAATTTTAACTTTTTTAAATAACTTTTAAGCTATCTCAACTCAACACTAAAATTAAGTTTAGAATTCTTGAGTGAAGTATCTTTCTTGGGGCCAGTTATACTTTAATTATATATATCAATAGAGTTTATACTATGGGTAAGCGCCTAAGTGGTGTGCTACAAAGATATTGTGCAGTTAAAACAAGTATTTATAGGTAAGTTTAGATGGCACAATTTTTTTAAAAAAATAAAATACTTGGGTCCATGGCCAGTAATTTTACCCTTAAATTTGGTAAATTTAAGTGGGTTTGTGCCTCAATCAAGTTTGTACTTGTACAACTTTCTATACCAATTTAATATGTGAGATTGAACACAATTAAAAAGATTATAAAAAATTTCGGTAGTTGGAATTTTTGTAATTACCGACTCTAAACTCGACTATTCAGATTAGATCTCCATATCAATTTTGGTGCAGGTCGGTTCAACAGGATGAAACAATATCGTTTCATTAAATAAGCAATTAAACAACACAAGACATGTTACTAACATAGAATTTTTTGTAGTGAAGACAACTCAAATACAACTTACAAAAGCAATTTGGATTGGGATTCGTATTCACTCTAGTCTAGCAAGAATAATTAGGATTTCATATTTTACGAAGCAATTTAGACTTAGCATTCTCATTCGCTAAAGTCTTGAAATAATAATTAGGATTTCGTCAGATAAAAATGGGAGAAATTTTGAATCTAAACTGGAAGAAAGAATAAGCACATGCCTTAACAATTGGTCATTTACTTAAATTCGCAATTAATTTACTTTTGAAATAGCATAAAAAGTCATTTTCATATCCTTTGAATTTGGATTACGCAACTTTATTAGAAGAATTTTGGCAAATGCAAACAGAAATGTAAATGACAGCAGATGATTGAATGGAGAAGTTAATTGTAATTTAAGTAGTCGAATAATGGAATGATATGTGACATTATTTCAACCTTTCTGCCCACATATTCGGCACTGTAGCATGATTGTTGAATTTTTTATCCTCCACCGCTAATGCATATATGAGTTCACATGACTTTATTGATATCAATATTATGATAATGTATATAGTCCTACTTACTTTTAATTGATATTATGATAATTAGGACTGTTAATGGATTGAATTTTGATCTGAATCCTATCCGAATTTGATGAAATTAATTGGAGATTGATTTAAGGTCTCAGTTCAATAATTCGATCAAGATCCGAATTCAATAATTCAATTAAGATCCTAATTCAATAAGTCATTAACTAAATGAAACAAATATGATTATACATCAATCTGATCTGATGCTAACCTGTTTCGATTTGTTATAAATAGTTGAGTCAGTTAAATATTTTTATGGCATGTTATTTGTCACTAAAATGAATAAATGATAAAATAAAAAAATTTAGAACAAAGAGGTCATCAAATTCAAAGCATAAAAAAAAAATAGTCTATTCACCTGTATACCATTAATTGTTTGTAGCCTCCCCCCCCCC